TACAGAACATATATAATTATATATGAAGCATATATAACCCTCATTTACCTGGGTAGGACAATCCTTGGGTTTTATCCGAAGGATTAACCTTAGGGATAAACGCAGGGATTCTCTGTTCGGTTCCCCTCGGACGCTCCTCATCATAGCTCCTTAAAGATCCTCCAAGATTTATTTCGGGGGAAGCACATATTTCCCCTCGGATTTCTCTTAGGGATTTACTTTTACTATTCCTCCGACAGGATCTGTAGGGATTAATCCTTATCAAATCCTCAGAGCATTTTCAGGGAGAATTTGGGGTAAAAGTCGATTCGAGTTTTTGACACTAAATGGATGTTCATCAACTTGAAATTATTAATTTTTCATTGTAATTGGTAATGTAGGGATACCTAGGATTGTTGTAGGGATAGCTAGGATGTCCTAGGGACGCGTAAGGATTATCCTCACTTTGTCCCTAGCTCCATCAGGGATTCACTTGTAGACCGAGCAGGACTTGAAGCAATGACGAGGTGACTCAAACACCAACACAACTTGACAAGTTGACTAACGCAAACCGCAAGCGGAAACGTAAGAGCAGAGTGGTAGTAAAAACCCTACAAGATAAAAGGAGAAAATTTAGTTCAAGGCTCAATTGAAAGCATGACCTAACCAATAAACCAAACACGTGGTCTAAAAGCTTACCGGGGAAGACAAAGATGTTATGCGGAGCTGCTGTTGAACGCCCGGGTCGGTGGCAGGATCAGCTCTGACCGACCCGTCAAAGCGCTCAACCAGCTGAGCAACCCGGAAGGGGAGGGGGAGAGAGGGGGAGTGAAGCGAACCGCACAGTGGCGCTATCCCTCAGAAAGAAACCCAACTAATGACCATGGGTTTGCCTAACTCCTAGGCGCCACGAACCCAGCCATCCGCGGCCGGTCAAGGCAACAGACGAGAGGTGCAAATAGAAAAGGAAAAACGGAAAAACAAACCGTAACAGCACCATTGCCACTTGAAGGGTTTGCTGTCTTCTTATTTGCAACAGGTTTCTTACACTGATTTCGGCTTAAACTCCTACCATCCTTAACTCTTGTCTGAAGCCCACCAGTTCCTATTGAGAAAGATATGGGGGGTTCGACTGAGGCATTCCTGCCTAAAATTTAAAGCATACGGTCATAGTAAGGCCACTGTGTATTGGGCCGACCTGTGCAGGTCTTTGTCATCTTCATGTATTCATTAAGGTGGAGTGAAAATCTGGGATCGAAAAAGTAGACTCCGTTTCAAGTACTTGAAGATATCCTAAGAACAGCTGCCGGGGCCATTTTGGCCCATCGGCACCCCTTCCACCCCCTAGGAACGGTCAAAGTTGGGTCTATGAGGCAATTTTGACACTTTTGGACCCCTGGGGACCGGACAAGGCGTTGCCCAGGAGACGGCTATCTCGGTTTCGGTGCGGAATGTATCTGGGAAGATAACCGCGAAGTCCCTGGGCTGTGCGACAAGATTAAAGTGAAGCCCGGTCGATTTTTGTGATGAAAAACGGCAGTTTTTGACCAAAAATGACTGTTTTGGGCCATATCTCGGAAAATATTGGTCTCAGCGCAAAAAGTGCTTAATGAAATCGTCTCGGCTCGTCAAAAGCTATCTGGACATGTAGTCGTCCAAACCGGAAGTTTCAAGGTGCCACCGGAAGTGACCGATATGTCCCCAAAACCTTAAATTTCATGGTCATATTTTCTGACTAAAATCGAGTTGTCAAGTGAAAAACCACTCCCATGCACTCTCAGTATCACCGAAAATGTTAAGCAGTAATCAAAAGTATCAGAAAGAGTCCGATAATAATTACAGAATCAACGAATGATACGAAAACACGCATATAATGTCGATTCCATAGTCTTTTTTGCAGAATCGGTATGCGTAAATAAAGAAATACGAAAGCATTTCGTTATATTTTATTTAATAACTGAAAATAATCTTAACAATTCATTTGTTTTCCGAACATTAAGAGAAAATCTTTCTTTGTGTCTAAATTAGGAAGAGTTTTGCGACTTTCCATACGGCACTGAATGAAGCCCTCCCTGGCTTTTTCACCGCAAACAGCCGAGGATGATTCAGTCACCAACTTGACGCACCGTTCGACGGCCTGTGTGTGACAGGGAAGTCCAGTGAAACTAGGTCGAGCTCGTGTAGTCGCAATTTCTATAACTTCTTCGTCAGTCAATGAACTTAAAATCGGCGGAGCAGAAGGAGTAGAAGGCCATGTGATCATCTCTGTATACGAAGTGGCTTCGAAATTGATCTTTGGCACTCTAAACACCCGTATGTCTGAAAAACAAAATTTTGTTTATTAGACACGCATTGATTTTTTTACAAGGAATCGAAAGTGTTGTTAAGTAAATTCTCGGCAAACTTCTTACCTGCCGTTCCAGTCTGCCTGCGTCTTGCTTCTACGATGATTGAGCCGGCCTTAATCCGCGTCTCTTCCACGTCATCGTACAGCATTGCTAGCAAAATATTCTCGTGGTGGGCGAAGAAGGCATTTGTCTGAATGACATTCTGAACTACCTGCCGATACAGCTGAGGCAAGTACCTGAAAAATAGAAAAGCGCGTTAATATGTGTGTCGTTAGGAATTCAAATAGCAAGTTATATTTTTTAAATATACAAACCTGGACCGTTGAATCGCTTTGAAGATGTGGCGAGCACCGTCAATGCACGAGGGCCTCCGTTTTACGTCGAACCACTGAGGAACGTTAGACCCTCATCACAAAAGTAGCTAATGTTATCAGTGTTTCCCCCGGGGTTTCAGTGGCAACATATAAACGCAAAATGCGACATGCTAGAGTAAGCCACCGGGCATGGTTTAAAGGACCTGGCTGGAGATCAGCAAGCTGAGGCAGGACCTGTCCATTGGCGACAGCATGAGACATCTGCAGCAAATATGCCTGATCAGTGCTCAAGTCAGGAACGCTGTAAAACAAAAAGATTT